TTCTGCCGAGAACATGAAGACTGTCACAGCTCACGATCCTCGCTGATGCCATGCCAGCCATATATGTTTTGTGTTTACGCACGGAATCTATTAAAACATCCAGCTATTACCGTGGTGATGAATAGCAGTGATTCAGAGAACACAAAATTGATCGCAGACAGGGATCAGAGTAATGACTCGGCATTTTTCATTGTTTGTGCTGAAGAAAGAATTAGCTGGGTGTAAGCACTGAGCTACTTTGGGGTGAGTCCCCGCCATCCGCTCTGCCTCCCTGGATGCTAATCCTAGAAAACTGACAAAGACTTTCGTCGTCGGGAGGACGTCCTATTCACTGGGGGCTCCTTGGAGAGCAGGTGGGAGGGGCCAATTTGGGTTGGAGTCCACCCCAGTGTCCACCCTCCTCCACTCCTCTCTGGGGTGGGTCTCCTCACGAGCCCTGCTGCCGCGCCTCATCCTGAGCTTGCTCGAACACCTATCTCCCCGGCACACCCGGTCCGCGCTCTGTGGACCGTCTGGGCTCCAGTGGACCCACCATCAACACCATCCCATCAAGTTCCACATGACTGATGGATGGCACTGCTGGCCCCTGATCCCTGCAGGTGGTAGGGGCAGCCCCAAGCCCCAGACACGGTGCAGAGCCCTGCACCAGATAAGGAGGGACAAGGTCAATCAAGGACCCTCCCTGGGAAAAGGAGGCAGACCTTAGGAGCAGGGGCTGGGGCTGAGTGTCCAGGGGCTCTGGTCTCCTTCTCAGGAGCCACTGTCTCTGCTCCGAGATGAAGCTCCACCTGGCATCAGCTACAGGAACAGAGGGCCCCGAACAGATGTCCGAAAGCACGTCCTCATGGGCACCTGCAGGGCGGGAGGGGCTCAGCCACAAGCCCCCGCCACACAGATTCAAACAGAAAATCTCCAGCTGAAAATCCCGTTTGTCCATTAGAGGCAAATCCACGATCCCTCTCGTTCTCGTGCCAAGACGTGGAACTGCGTTCCACAAGTGGTACGGACGTTCGCTAAGTCCCTCCGCTGGGACCCAGCGTCCACGGTGGGAGCTGTTCACCCCGCAGCAGGTGACCGGGACCCTCGTCCCCTCCTGAACGATGAGGGGTTTCCTAGGCCCCAGGCTTGCCTCCCGTACCCTGTCTTTGGTCCCCGCATGCTGCTGACCTGCATCTCCTACCTCGAGACCCATTTCCTGAGCACCTGCTGGGGTGTTCTCACCTGTATCCCAAGTCCCCACACAGGGGCCGAGGTGAGACATAGCCCAATCTGCTCTTCAGGTACCTGGACCAACACAGAGCCCAAACTGCCCTTCGGCCCCATCCCTCTGCCTAGGTGTCCTGGACCTGGGACAGCTCAGAGGATGCCCAGGGTGCGTTTCTATGAGGCTGGCCTGGGGCAAGGTCTGCAGGGGGGAAGCCCAGTCTACATGGTACAGGGGCCCCTGGGAGGGGAATGTGGCCAATGAGCGGCCCCCAGAGGCTGGGCATGCCAGGAAGGACGCACAGAGCCCGGGGGGCGGGGGCCTCTGCTGGGGCCTGGGACAGCTGCCTGGCCAGCTGACGGGAACCCCAGCAGAGCCTCAGGGACCACTATCTCCCTGTTCCCAATGAACTTGTGGCCTCTGGCCAACGGAGCCCCACGCCACCTCACGCGCGGCCCAGAATCATTTTTCTTGTATTGGTTTTCAGAATGAGCCGCAGAACGGCAGCTGAGACTCAGCTCTATAATAAAAGCTTCCAATTGCTGGGATGGCTCATTCAAGATCAGAGACAAACCCAAGCCTCCCAAACACCTGTGGGAGGCACTGCGCTCCTGGCCGGTGTTGGGATCACTCCGTGTGCAGGAGCTCAGAGCTGGGGGGGTGGTGAGTCCGCAGCGCCCTGGAGCCCCGGGTTCATGAGATGGACGAGCGGTGAGCTGCCTCACGCTGGGGACAGGGCCCGCGGAGCCGGGCTGCAAGCAGTGTTTGGGGGACGGGACATGCTGTGCCCAACGTTCCCCGGAGTCCCGGAGCTCGGGAGTGAAGAAACCGCTGGTGGCCGTGAGCGTGCAGGGAGGTGCGTTCCCAGCAGCCCACAGCCGGAGGCAGACTCATAGGGGGAGACAAAACTGGGGCCACAGAACCGCCAGGCGCCGCAGAGACCCCCAAAGCCGCAGTGTCAGCAAGACTATGGGAGGTCCTGTGGGAGGGAGCCTAGGAGGACCAGAGCAGGGGGGCCACTTCGTGGTGGATTTCGCCTGCCAGGATGCCCCTGGACTTGCCTCCAAGGCCACGGCCTCTGCCCTCCCCGCTGGATGCCTCCAAGCTGCTCTGCACGGACACCGGGCGCTCTGCCACGCTGGCCTCCCCGACCTCGGACGGCCTCATGCCTGCCTGTGTGCAGGCCAGGAAGTGCTCACGGGCTGGTACGGGGGTGACCAGGCTGGAAACACGAGTCCATACCCACACATGCCCCTCCTCAGCCCTCCCTGCACCACGCTGGTGTCACCGGGTCCCCTTACAGACACGGCAGACCCCCACTCCTCCTCTCCAGCCACAGCTTCTCATCAGAGTGGCCTCACGCCCGTGGCCCCAGCCAGCCTCACCAAGGCAAAGCTCACTGCCCCTCCCCAAGTTTCCCCGGGGCCCCCGGCGCACTCCGAATGGATGCCGGCATCTTCCATAGGCCCCCGGGGCCCCGCCTCACCCCTGGAGATGACCTGGCACCTCGAGCTCCTAGGAAGCCAGGCTGTCTCCGGAGCTGGACACAGGGCGGGCCCTGTGTGCACCCATCTCCCTGCTCCCTGGTGGAATCCGGAGTTCCTGGTCTGGGACGCCCTGGCGCGGCCGGGCTCTGGCTTCGGGGGGCTCGGCTGCGCAAGGTACACTGGCGTCCGAGTCTTTGCACCCATTTTTCCTTCTGGGTTTAGAGAGGATGCTTTTCCACCTGCAGCCCCGCACAGATGGCTACGGACGGATCTGCACTCCCCCATCCTCGGCGGGCACGCGTCCTTGGAAACCCACGTCTGGGAGCTGTGGGAATTCTGTTTCTAAGTATTTCTCTGATAATCTCTTCTCCACGTTTTCTATTTTTGGACCTTATATTCTTTAGAACTCCTGAATTGGTCTTCTAGTCTGGTTTTTCCCTGCTTCTCTTAAAACATCGACTCTGCGGCTGAGACTTCTTCATTCTACTGGATTGTGAACAACATCCGTTAACACACTCATGCTGTGTAGATGCGCACAAATGCACGATCTTACATGTACATGTGCTCATCTATGCGTGTTTTATACATACTTTATACCTCCGTTCTTATAAAAGTGATATATGTTATTTCCAAAAGTGCTCTTGATCTTCTTAGTGTCCGAGTCAGTGTCCTGAAACGACCATGACTCTCTTCTTCTCCTTGCAATCCTGGGGCTCGGGGGCCTGCAGGTGACAGCTCACCCCTGCATCATGGGCAGCCCGGCCCAGTGGGGGTAGGTCGGGGGGGCACCTTGTAGGGGAGCATGCCAGCCGCGGGGTGATCACACCTCCTAAGTGGGGCTCGGGGGTCCCGGAGCCAGACGCCCCCCAGGGGAGGGAGGGCCGGAGTCGGCCCCTTCAGTGTGCCTTCCTCCTCCCGCTTCCTGACGCACCTCTGCCCCCACGGAGCGCCCGCCAGCTTCATGGCACTGCTGTGTGGTCTCCTCCCCCACCACCTCCAGCGGCCCGTTTGCTCCAGGTCCTCTGGTTCATGGTTGGCGGCCTTTGGTCGCTCTCGTCAAGCAGTGACCCTTTGCTTCCCCCACATTGGTGAGCGGGACGTGAAGAACCGATGGGCAGATGGTGGGCTTCCCAGAAGGGTCCTCAGGCCCCAAACCACAGTGACCCACGGGTTTTAGCCTCGAGTTTGGTACATTAGTGAGGGCGAGAGGACACCCCCCCAAATTCGTGTCCACCCGGAACCTCAGAAAGTGACATTTTTGGAAATGGAGTCATTAAAGATGTGATAAAGTTTGTGACCCGGAATCATTGTTGATTTAGGAAGAGCCTAGATGGGATGGTGTCATCACGAGGCCCGGTTCTCGCGGGCACATGGCCGTGGGAGGACAGGGGCACACACTGGGTGATGCAGCCACACGTCCAGGAGCGCCTGGAGCCCCAGAGGCTGGACAAGGCCACACCTCGGCTTCACCCGGCGGGAACGAACGTCTGCCGCTGTGAGCCTCCAAGTGTGGGGTGACGGCGGGCCGCTGGAGCCTTGCAGGGCGCGTCTCCAGAAAGAAGCTGCAGCGGCCCCTCCGGGAGCTGAGGGGCCGCACGTCTCAAGACCTGGGTCTTCAGGAAGAGTCCTCCCTGCTGGTGCTGGCATGGCAGGGTCCAGAGTCGCCAGGCTTCTTCCCCTCGCTGGTGTGAGCCCCCGGGGGGGCTGTCTGCCGCAGGGCTGGCTGCAAGGGCTGGGCTCCCTCCTGCAGCCCTGCCTGCAGGCCAGAGGGCCTGCACCCTACTTCCGAGCACCCGAATGCGGGGCCCAGACCAGCTCATCCACCGAAGCGTCCACTTCCTGCCATTGCCTCTCCTGCGTGCTCTGCCTTTTCTCCTTTCCGTGTCCTGTCACTTCATAGGGGTGTCCAGACGGCAAAAACGGGAGGCGCCTATGTTCTGTTCTTTTAACTGGGAGCCCACAACAAGCCTTTGCTAAGTTTCTACGGAGAGTCCCTGTAGGAATCTCCGCACCAGTGTGTGGGGCTCAGATCCAGAGCCCAGACCTCAGGGCCCAGTGCTCAGGGCCCAGCACTCGGGATCCAGCACTCGGGGTCCAGCACTTGGGGCCCAGCGCTCCAGGTCGTGTTCGGGGCTTGGGGTCAAGCACTTCAGGTCTAGCGCTCAGGGTCCGGGGCTCAGGGTCTGGCACTAGGGGCCCAGCACTCGGGGCCCAACGTTTGGGGTCCGGGGCTCCGGGTACAGCACTCCAGGTCCAGTGCTCGGGGCTTGGGGTCCAGCACTCTGGGTCGAGTGCTCGGGGTCTGGGGCTCAGGGTCTGGCACTCTGGGCACAGCGCTCAGGGTCCAGCACTTGGGGCCCAACGCGCTCGGGGCCCGGCACACAGGGCCACAGGTGCCCCTCCTCCTGCATGTCTGCCCCGGGCACGGGCCTGGCACAAGGAACCTGAGTGGTGGCTGACTGGCAGAGCCACCCTCCCAGGGGCTCAGAGGGTCCAGACCTGGCACACACTAGGCCCTCGGGTGGTACATTTGGAATCCAAGAACGCAGAGACCTCCTGATTACATGGACAAGGCGAGCCATCCTCAGGACGGTGGAGAAGCGCAGTGGCCCCCAGCCTGCCCCACACTAGCTCACACATCCGGGGTCAGAGACGCTCGGCACTGCAGGAGATGCTCATCAGCAGAGCCCAACAGGAATAAATGAGAACAAAACCCACCTGAGTGCTTCTCTGTCATGTGAACCAGTCTGTGGTGAGCGCTGATCTCTGGGACTGGTCAGCAGGCTGGGCCGGCGTCCCCTCCCAGTGTCGTCCAACAGAGACGCCTGGCCGCCTGCCCACACCTCCCGTGGCTGCCCTCCTGGGACCGCTGGGCACACAGGTGCTCGGGGAGCCGCTGCTGTTCCGCCAGGCAGGGCCTGCTCTTGGGAAGTGTGGTTTGGGGGAAGCAAGTTCCCAGGAAATCCAAGTTCCTGGACAGAACTAGACGGATACCCCCATGAATGCTCCTCACCCCCCATAACGGGGCCTTCACACGGTACGGAGTTCAGGTGTGGTGCGTGATGCTCCTCGGAAAGATGGGTTCCCATCCAGCTGGTCCACTCTGATTTGGGAGATGGGGCCGCAGCTCATGCCGGGCACCTTGTAGTACGTACGCGTTACAAAGTGTGGCAAAGCGACTACCGATCATGGCGTCCTGATCGCCACTGGCACATGCCGCTCGCGGCCTCAGCAGCTCACATCTGCAGAGACGAGAGGTGTGGGGAGGGCAGGAGGGCGCTCTGCTCTCGGGGGGGACCCACACCACCCGCCGTCAGTGGGCACAGCGGAGGACTGCAGAGCTCAGGGGAGACCGTCTCTGGGGGCGTCACGGGAGGGCACTGTTGCGCCCTGGGGTGAAGCCTGCAGCATCCCCCGCGTCTCCTTTCCTGGTGCAGACCAGCGTCCACAGGGCCAACATGGCATGGGAAGCAGAGCCTGGGAAGCCAGCACAGATGCTAAATCCTCCCCCAAGTCCCCCAGGATGGTGGGCTCCCCACGATTCACCGTGACCTGCAGGAGTCACCACGTCCAGCTAGCGAGCCTGTGCACACGTGTGAGCTTCACTAAATGGGACTCCCCCTCAGGACACGGGATTCTGATATTTTTACTTAATTTCTTCCTCCCTCTCTTAAATGCAGATCACGATCCAGTAAATTAATATCATGACCCACTAATGGGGTGAAGACCTGTCCTCTGAAGAGTAGCACTCTCAGAAATGCAAACATCAGCGCATTCCTGGGATCTCTTCATAGGTGACCACGTAATTTATCGCACGTTCTTATGTCGGCCTTGAGCGAGGGGCTGGGGGTTGCCCATCAGGCACAGTGCCTGCCGCGGGTGGTTGGTGGGCACAGAGACGTGAGCAGCGTGGCCCTCATAGAGGAGTGGGGCGTGACACGGTTGGTGGGGGGCGCCACTGAAACACGGCTGTGGCCACTGAGGTGGTGTGGGCAGTCACATGGCTAAACAATCACAAGGGCTCTCAAAGCCCATCTCATAGAAAACCTACTTGTGATGAAACGGGAAATCGCAGGGCTAGCCATCTGTAACGGAATCGAGATGCCAACTCGAAAATGGGAATATACCCTCCAGTTACATGGTGTTTGGGTCAAGAGCTCGAATGAACTTTGAAGAAAGCTTTGCAAACAGGTCACCGCACACCAGGATTGCTGTCAGAGCCAGAGATGTGTCTGCAGATACCTGGGGAGACCCCGGGACTCCAGCATCATCACACAGCCCCTCCACGGGATGCACCAGCCCAATCTTCAGCGCACACACCCTCCACACTGCAAAGGGCACCGTGCCCTAGGTGTGCACCCCTATAGGGGGCGAGGAGCCTCAAGAGTGGGCACTTCTCCTGGACTTGCCCCGAGCCTAGCACGTGTCCTTCCCACACCTGGACCAGCGGGTGCATCTGCCCGAGCACCAGCTGTGGCATGCTGGCTGCCCCCCAGGGCAGGCTCCCCTGAGAATGGGCAGATGGGAGAATGGATCTTCAGAGCTAAAAGACCCGTGGGCTCGTGCAAAGCCAGACCCAACGTTTGAGGGGGGAAGACCCAGCAGACTGAAAGGCTGTCTCCGTGGCCTACTACCAGCTGTGGTTTTCACAGCGGTCAGACCAAGGCAATGGTCACGAGCTCCTGGGCCCGTGGGGCCACGGGACTGGCCGCAGCAAGGGGGATGCATTAAGGAACAGAGCCTGCCTACAGATGCTAGGCCTGCTAAAGGAGCTGCAGGGCAGGGAATTCAGAGCACGGGAGTGGGGAAGGGCTTGGGAGCCTCAGTCCACCTGTGTGACCAGGAGGGTTGCTGCTGGGCCACTTCCTTCAGCCTGCCTACCCCCAGCACCGTGCTCGGGGCCTGGAGTGCAGGCCGGACCCCATAGCCACGTCCCAGGGCCACCGCTGTGGGTGGGCAGCCTGGAACGTCCCCCAAGCCTCCCCTCCTCCAGGTGTTCACTCAAAAGACCCCATCACCTGGCATGTCCTGCCCAAAGGGCTGCCGTGGGCCCTGCAGGGAACCCACACACTGACCCACAGGCCCCAGGGGTGCGGGATGGCAACCCTGGCTGTGTAGGATCTGCTTGTCCCCAGGTCTCTGCCTTTTGGGAACAGCACACAGACGGGGATCCCGGAAAGATCAGCTGCCTCCTGGATGCCCCTGGAGGGGGCAGCCTCACATCAGAAGCCGCCCAGGCTCCCTCAGAGCCGCCAGGCGGCTGGCAGGTCATGAGCTGGCGATCCCCGCACACGTCACAGGTGTGAGGACAGGATCGCCTGCTTCTGTGCTGGACACGGCTTGGGCAGCTGGCACGCTGGGGAAGGCCCCCTCTGGCCGCCCTTGTCTCTCGGCTGACAGCCGTGCTCGGCAGGTGCCCTTGGGTCCTGCCCACCTGCCGTCAATGCAGAACCACCTGATTCCCACAAACAGACGGCCCGTCCTCAGAATGTGCCCCCGAGGGGCCCAAACTGTGCTCTCCTCAGCAGCTGTGGGAGCTAGGCCCCCTGGACACATGGCTGGACGGCCCGCCAGGGCTCCCTGCAGGGGCCGGCATGTGGTGAGGGAGGAAGCGCGCGGGATTTCCTCTGCTCCAACTCCAAGGGGCTACAGCCTCCAGCTTCCTGAGCAACCCTGCGAGGAGACTCGGATGCCAGCCTGGCTTTCCGGATCCTTCCCTGGGGGCCCCAGACCTCCCTGACTGGACATTCCCAAGTCACGGAGGCAGGAATCAGGGCCAAGAGATCACACCCCACTTCAGGTCTCAGTTTCTATGTGGAGCTCACGACGACGAGCCGGGCTTGGGGTGATAATCAGCCTGGGGGAAGGAGAGGCCACTGCCGTGCGGGCCGAGGTCTGCGGAGTCCCAGCGCCCAAGCCAGTGGACGCAGGCCCCAGCTCCCGTGGCTCGCATCGTCGAGCCTGTGCCTTAAGGAACTTACTTTTGGAAAAGGGACCTCAGAGAGCGACCCCAGAACCCCTTTCCTGCCCTCCCCTCCCAACCTGTGGGTCAGCAGCCACGGGGACCAGGCGGGTCCCGGCTCCTGAAACAGAGCATACAGGGTGTGCCCCTCAGCGGGATCTGGGAGGGACCAGCGCGCCCTTGGGGGTTTTCAGGGTCTCCGCGCAGAATGGCCACCATGTGGTGCCCAGGGTAGGAGCCGACCTTGAGGACCACGCCCCTCCCCAATCCTTGCTCTGGAAAGGATTCACCTGCCGTGAGGGGGTCCTAACCCGTCCTCCTGCCTGGAGTTGTGAGCACACCCTCCGCCCCAGAAACGAGACAGTGTTACCAACCACCCTGTGTGGGCACTGAGCTACCTTCTGGGAGGACGCTTTCAGGGGGTTCTGTCCGGCCCTTGGGCCCACCTGTCGCAGGGACAGTCTGACGGAGCCCAGAGACAGACTGATCCGGCTCCAGAGGGTGAGGGGGGTGCAGAGGGGAGGCCATGAGGCTGGAGGCCTCTCTGCACCAAGAAGCCCACTGCCACTGTCCCTGTCACTGCCGACGTGGGGCCCCCCTCCCCAAGGGTACTCGCTGCCCAGGGCTGCTCGCCTTCTCGGTGTGAGGAGTGAGCGGGGCTGCGTACGCACCGTGGTGGTCTTTATCCGCCCGCCGGGCTGTGTGCACGTCCAGCCTGACCGGTTGATCAGCAGGTCACAGCCTTCGCCCTCCAGACACGGGAGCATGTCACACCACTGCTTTGTCTTGATGATTCGAGCTGTGGGAGAGAAGAGAGCCGTTCAGCCACTGCTCAGGGGGGCCCTGGGTGGCACCAGCAGCCTTACTCCTACACGGCGGTGGGAAGGGCGGTGGGCAGCCTGGTGCCCTTCGGGGTGGCCGGGCCACTATTCCTCCCTGGTTCCCCATTTTGTGCTGCTCCCCGGGTCCAGCTTTGCCACCAGCTCCTCAGTAAGCGGTAGCAGGGAGTGTTGAGGATGGTTTCCTCCCTGACGGAAAAGCCTAGAAGCAGGGGCTACGTCCAGAAACAGAGGATGATTGTATTCACTTAACCCTCACTCAAGGACCCCCGCAGAACGGGCTGTTCTCCAAATTAGGACCAAGTGCACGTTCTTCTAAATGCATGTACGACTGATTAGCTGCACGTTTATAAATCCGGGGCTGATACAAGAAGGAAGAGACTCCAGTTACAAAGTCTGGGCGCTCAGATCCGACGCCCACCACGGGCCAGACATTATTTCAGCTCAAAGCTAAGTCATCAACATGCATGCTTCCAAACATGCATCCTCCCCAACTCCGGGCTGCTGCTGGAAAAGGCACAAAACCTGCGATTTCCCAAGAATGAAGATGTGGAGTCCGGGTTCAAGCCGTGCGAGGACAGATGCGTCTTTGGGCACCTGCCCTGTGCTCGCCATGCTGGACTGTCCCCTCAGGGGCGGCGGGAAAAGGCGAGCGGGCCAGGAGAGAGCTTGGCCAGCCACAGTGTGGGTCTCGGGGCTGTTCCAGGGGATACAACAGCTCATCACGCTGACACCGGCTCCTTTCTAGGCCGTGCCACGGACAGGACTGCCTCCAAAGTCACATGGCGAAGCCCTAACCCCTGGTGTGGGGGTCCTCGGAGACAGTGTTCTATAGAAGTCATTCAGGTTAAGTGAAGTCATGAGGGTGGGGTCCCCATCTGATAGGATCAGTGCCCTCGCGAGTAGAGACACCGAGCCGTGCGAGGCCTCCTGCCGGCACCTGGGCCGGCTCGCCTGTCCTCTCAAACTCCCGGCCCCCAGGGCGATGAGAAGGCAAATGTTTGCTGCTGAGGCCGCCCGGCCTGTGGTATTCTGTCCCCGCAGCCTGGCAGACGGTGACGCGACGGAGACCCACCCCGTGGCCGTGTTTCTCATTCCGCTGGGAAGTCGGTGTGGGAAACACACCAGCCGAGCACCTGCACGGTTCCCCAGGCGAAGCGGGGACGCGCCAGGTTCTGCTCACTGGGGCACGGCCTCCGTCCCGGCAGGACCCCCTGGGACGGGAGGCTGGGTACAGGCGGGAGCCCCTTCTCTGGGCCGCTGGCACAGGAGCTCGGCGCCTTTCCCAACACATCCCCGGGGCCTCATTCCTCCCTGCCGGAGCCCTGAGCAGCATCGTCTTCCCAGATGCGCCGTTTTGTGACAGTAACAGATGCCCCGAAAGGCCTGCTGTGTGCTTGCAGGTGCACCCCTTACGCCCACAGAGAGGCTACGGGCATGGAGCACACACAGCGCAATCCCTGGAAACCCTGCCGGAGTGTCGGAGCCATGATCCTGACGAGTAAAGGGGGAGCTTCCCCGGGATCAGCCGTGAGGAGTGGGGTGGAGTAGGCTAACGGGCGGATCGAAGAGCATCTGCAGCCACGCTCCCCAACCGTGCCCCCGGAGCCCCACCGAGGGGCACACGGCCATCGTAGCGGGCCAATGGTGCAGAACCTCAGCCCGCAGCGAGGCCCGGGGCCGCCCCAGTCCTTGCCTGAGGGTCCAAGAGCGGGAACACGGCTGTCTCAGGGACAGATGTGCCCTCCCATGGCAAGAAGGCAATGAGGTTCTGGAGGTAGGGAGCCTGAGGTCGCACCGTCTGCGAGGCCCCGCACACCAGGCCTGGGCCATCCCGAACGGGGTTGCACGTGTGGAGGGCAGGTCCTGGCTTGTGCTGGGCGGCCTGGTCTGCAGGACATGCGGTGACGCAGGAAGGTGGCAGAGCCAGGCCTGGGTTCCCTCCCGCAGCACCGTGTGGTCACCCTGGTGCTCTGTCCCCCCGGGGAAGCACAGAGCTGGGGATGGAGGAGAAGGTGTCGCTGGAAGGACCCGGCCCAGGCTCGGCCCGTCAATGCGCACGGACACACAGCCCTCACGGTCGGGCCACCTGCAGTCACTTGGACCGAGGGTGTGAGGGGGACAGACCCTGACCTCGGGACTCACCCATCTGCAGGCCTCACGGCAGCCTCCTGCCCCTGCCAGGCCCGCGGCTGAGGCCCCCTTGTCCTGCGACACCACCCTCAGTTCCCCTGGGCTCGCTCACCTCTCTCGAAGCAGTGTGGGGGCTGCTGTCTCCACGCCTTCCTGACCGTCACGCGCTCAGCTGCAAGCGGGGAGACGTGGGAGGGAGGGAGCACGTGGCCCCAAACCCTGGCCCCCAGCACGGTGTGACCATGAGCGAGCGTGGCCACAGGCCAGAAAGGCAGGACAGGGAGCTGGGTCCTCACGGCCTTCGTGGGGGGAGGGACACAAGTCCCGCCCACACTGCTGCCACGCATCTGACCACACACATACACGCTTGCTCACCCAAACACGCGTGCACACGTACACACATGGTGAAATGTGTGAACACAGGCAAACATGAATACACAGACCCATGGGCATGCAGACAGCACACACGGACACGTACCCATCTGTCCGTTCACAAGTGCACACACACACACGGACACGTACCCACCTTGTGTTCACAAGCGCACACACGTGCATGCACACACAAGCAGTCGCTGACTGTCCCCCTCCCCCATGCCGTGGGGCAGCCTGGGCGTGCCGGGTGCCAGGCTGGCCGAGGGCACTGCAGGGCCGCTGCTGAGCACACACGCCTTTTGTCTGCTGCTGGGCTTAGCTCACCCTGCCTGAGCCCACTTCCTGCTGGAGGCGGTCGGAGGCACAGCACTGGCCACCACATCCCAGGGACAAAGGGACCTTTCATGCCACATGTCACTACTTCCGCGATGCTCCAGCGCTGGGGAGGGCAGTGCACAGGGCCGTGAGCGACAGTGGCTGACTGCTGGCCTCTGGGGACACTGGTGGCAGCCAGCCGTGTGCCACGGGAGGTGCCTTGGCCCGCGGCGCATCAGGGGTCACCACCACATCGCCTGTGCCTGTCCCTGGGCCCGGGGAGAGCAGACTTGTGCAGACGGGCGCTGGGGGCTGAAATGGAGCCGCTGCACTGACCCCGGGTCTCTGACAGGGCGCCGGCCTGGCCTTGGGGTGGTGCCACTCCCCTCTCCCTCGGCGTGTCCGCACCTGCCCTGTGTCCCCAGAGAGGCCACCAGGCACCCAGCACTCTCGAATACATCTTGCTCGTGAACAGGCTTGCGGCCACAGCGTGGGCCCCGTGCACCTGCTGCTGGCCAGGCAGGGGTGTGAGCTCACCGCGCCACCCACACACTCTGCCCCAAAAGCTGAGGGCCTCAGGCTGAGGCTGCAGGCTGCCCTCCATGTGGACATTTAGGTGTTTCTGGGACAGGAGCTCTGCCTCAGTCTCCCACTGCTTCAGCCCAGGCACATGTCAACAATGTAATGGGAACTGTGGGCACCGTGCGGGCAGCCAGATCAGGACACTGACGGTGCTGGGCCAGCATTACGGGCACAGAGGGACAGCAAGGCGATGGCTGGCCAGGGCTGGTCTCCCTGGTCTCGGGAGAGTGGCAAGTGGTCGCTGGTGCCGGGAATCAGGGAGAACAGCCGAGAGGCGGAGAGCATGAGTCCCAGACACAGCACGTTAGACAGCCCTGGTCCATCTGCTGGAAGGCCAATTTGCCAGAACAGCATTCGGGCAGGCCGTGAACGTGAACGGGGCTGAAGACAGATCAGGGCAGCCCCAGAGTAACAGGGGCCTGATGGGGGCAGCACGGACACTTCCAAGAAAGGACAGGAGAGTGAACCGCCTTCGAGGGAAAGGACAGCCCTTCGGAGACAGAGCAGGGCCGCGCTGATGCCCGCTCACAAAGGGCGGCGGTGGGATCGGAGGGAGGGTCCTCTGGCCCACCAGCAACCTGGCCTCACGACCCAGCCTGGGCACAGACACAAGTGTGCTGGGGAAGCACTATCTTCCTGTGAGAGATGCAGGGGGTGGTGTGGCACCTGGTCCACGTAGGGCCTAGGGCCGCATGCAGCGGGGACCGATGAACAAAGCCAGGAAACTCTCTCCACCACCCCTGCCCCCAGCTGGACCCCGAGAAGGACCAGCTAAGGGGGCTCCCTGCCCAGAACAGAACTGGGTGAGGGGCACAGAGCCTCGGAGCTGGAAGGGTGGGGTCTGCGTCCGTTACTCTGAGCTGGATGCTCTCATGACTGAAGGGTAATATTTCCACAGAGCCCCTGCACTCTCCTGAAGCAGCTGGAAGCTTTCATCCGGGGCCAAGATGGGCGGCGAGTCCAGCTGCGGAGTCCCTGGCCCCATGCAGGGGTGCGGTCAGGGCCCCTGCTCTCTGCCCCTCACATAGTGGCTCGGGGGCACGACACACACACCCCTCCCGCCACACTCCCCGGGGTCCCCCTCGGTGACCAGCTGCCTGAGACCAGGGCTGAGCCGCTGTCCCCGAGCACCAATCCCCAGGGAAGAGGCAGAGCCCGCCGGGGTCTGCAGAGGGCCCAGCCGGCATCGGGGCCCCGTGACCGTCTCCCCCGAGAGTCCTGGACTTCAGACACACAGCAAGGACCCGTGTCTCCCCCAGCTAATTGTATGACATCAGGACAATGGCGGTCACAGCATCATCCTTCCAAGGCCTTTTCTAGAGAAGCTAGGGACCTGCCCCCACCGGGAATCAGCTTGGCCATCCTGGCGGTGCTCCCCATTCTTATGGGTGTCACCCCACACCAGTGAGAAAAGGCTCTGCAGGGTTTGCACAGGGAGAGAGGGTGAGTGCTAGGGCACCTCGTGTCACATGGCAGGTGGCCCCAGGGCCGTGGGGCGCAGCGCCCGGGGACACACACCCCACACGTGCGCTGCTTGCTCCCCTCCAGTCCAGGAGGA